CTCCCCCCCCCCGGGCATGGGGGGCTGTGCGCCCAGGGTCTGCGGGCTGGGACTGGGAAGCCGCACCGGGCTGGGCTGCAATGTGTTCAGGGCAGGCAGCGGCAGTGCTGGGAGCATGGGTTGAGGGCTACAGCAAACTTTCAGGTGGCTGCAGCCCTCCTCCCCCCATGTAGCCCTCTCCCAGCACCACTGCTGCCTAGCCCAAGCACAGTAAGGCCCAAAACCCGCATTGGGAAAAACCTGGCCCCAGCCTGCAGCTCCAGCCCACCCAGATAAGCTGCTTGCAGGTCTGTCCTGCACCCTGCCCTATCTGTACACCCCTAGCCCCACTTGCTTCCTCACCACCATGGGGGGGGGGTGCAGAAAGAGGGGCAGATCAAGGCCCCAGCAGTGAGAGAGGGAGTCGGAGCTGGGGCCCTGATTTGCCCCTTTCACCACAGACTAATCTGCTGGGGCAGTGGGCCCCCAAATAATTTTTCTCCCTGTGCTTCCATCTGCCCCCCTTCCCCGCCTGCTCAGTGAGGGGGGACTGGGTTGAGGGGGTTGCATGGTAGATCTGGGGTGGCTTTTAAATTCCAAAAGTGATCTACTTAAAAGGGTTGGAGACCACTGATCTAGGAGGTGATGGTAGCACTCCACTTGGTGCTGGTTATGCTTCCAGGTACTATGTGGAGAGCTGAGCTCTGCATTTTAAGAATGATGTGGATGAGTTGGAGTGGTTTCAGAGTTGGGTGATTAAAAATGTGTTAAAAGGCCATCTGCATAAAGGAAAGGTTGAGGGAACTTGGGCCTACTTAGCTTGGATAAAAGGCAATTTAATGAGGAACATGATAGCAGCCTTCAAATATTTGAAAGGCTGCAGTAAAGAAGGAGAGCAAGTTCATTCTTGTTGCAGGGCAGGACATGAATAGATTTGAATTGTAGGAAAGTAGATCTAATCTAAATCTCAGGAAAAACTTCTCTGCTGTTAGCCAAGGGGTTGGCAGCAGCAATCCCTCAATTGGAGGATGATCTCTACCAGATCTCAGAGGTGACTGAAGAGTCCAATCCTTGAGCCACAGACCTGTCTGTGGGATTTGCAGGTCATTCCTCAGGGGAGAGTAGGCTGTAAGCCAGGATTTCTCTCCCTTTCCTTCCTTCGCTGGATCTTTGTTTCTCTGCCCAGGGAAGCTGCAGAATGTCATTTGCTGAAAGCTTGCAAGAGAAACTGGATTAGATAGGGGGTCTACCAAACTTGAGGTGGCAGCTGGTCAATTTTTCAGGCTCAGCCCTGGGCCAGCCACCATTTTTGCAGAGTGAGCACAAGAGAGCCCCCCAACACACCTGGCTGAGGGGCCCTGGTAGTTCTGCCCCTCCCTGCAGACAGCCAGATGGCCCCAAACTGCTTAGATTGTAATATATCAATTAATGGCTTCCATGGACTTAATCTCATGATTAAGCCTGTGAAAGCCATTAACCACTGCTTAGATTGCTTAATGTGTCAATCAGTGGCTTCCATGGGTTTAATTGGGGAATCCCCAGATTAAGCCCATGGAAGCCATTGATTGACACATTATCAAGCAATCTAAGCACTTAATTAAGGCCTAAAATGAATTATCTTATTAAAATAAAGCTATACACAGTGTGAATTTCAAGTAATACCAACTACATCCACCTAATTAAATTCTAAACTGAAATATTTTATGAAAATAAAGCTATGCACATGAATTGTAACTAATACCACCTATATACACTTTAATAAAATACATTGTAAAAAATAGTTTACTGAGCCTGAATGCTAACCTTGAGACAAGGGGTTCATGCTAGGTATTAAATGCAAGCATGCTGCACCCAGCTGTTGTCACTGCATACACACTCTGTGGGGTGAACACTTGTCAGTACACTGAGATGGCATGCTCAGTGGCCTCCAAGCTTGTATGTCTTGCCAGGGCATGAATATATGGAAACCAGCCACAGACTGTCCCAGAACACAGGCACAGGCATCTGGCACATCCATTGTCATGCTGTTTCCCCCATCCTGGGATTACTTTCAGGAGCTGAGGGTCACAACTCAGAACAGGCATCTGGTTGGGGCCCAAATCAAACAGCACTAAGGAAGGGGGCAGCTGGTTGTCTGAACCACAGTGGCAGTGATGGGTTGTACCTGAGGTACTGGTTCAGCTTCATTGCTATGGCCTGGAACAGGTCCCTTGTGTGCTGGTTTTCATGAGAACAGCTTGATAGTTCTTGCAGCACCGTGTCTGACCCAGCTTATCAAATCCATCAGCTTGTTGTGTGCGTGGTGGATCACAGCCTGCTGGTCTCCAAACCATGTCAGGAGCCCTATGAACTGGGTGGCTTTGTTGGCCACAAATGTTACTTGATCTTGAATGTTGCCTCACCCTAAGACATTGTGAAGCTTAAGCATGCACTGTGCTGGATGTGATTTCCAGCTCCTCACAGTGCTGCATTGAACCACAGAGTCCACTGTGTGAGCACAGGCTCTGGTGGTAGCGGCATAGTGCCATGCAAGTCCCCAGTTTGACTGGCGATGGACTCTTTGTTCTTATGGCCTGGACAGTGCTGGAAGGCCTTCTTGAAAGAAGACACCAAAGTATCCACATCGGGGAACTGCATGCACCAGATGTCACTTACTAAGGACAGAATGTGTGCATTGCAGGTGACATGAACAGTGTTGGGTAGCATTCCTTGGAGCACATCAGAGAAGGTCTTGACGTGTACATGGCATTGTCAGACAGGAACGCTGAGATCTTGTTATAGTCACTATACTATAGCTGACAATTACCTTCATGATGGCTTGAGAGAGGAGAAAAATTTGACAGGTGTTGAGGTGGACTGGCTCAATTTGAAACCCAGGAGTGTCCCAGTCTGTTCAGCTCCTTGGTACAAATAAAATGTGCAGCACGTAGTTACCTTGAGATTCAGTGGCTTCATCGGCCACCATGAAGGAATCATACTCTGCCAAGGCAGCCTTTGTGGACTGTACATGCAAAGCAATCACTGCAGGGAAATAGTCTTGGCAAAGCTTGTTGGCACACAGAAAACTGCTAGCATTTGGCATGTTTTGGTTCAGGTAGTCCCTTAACTTGGGTGATCAACTTTCTCCCGTGGGATGTCTGCTGCCATGAAGCCTCCACGAGGGGAAAATGCTGCCTCATGCCTTTGCAAGCTACTTTCTGTGGTTCTTTTAAACAGGGAGGACATGGTTGCTTGTTTCTTGCTCTGACTTTCAGCTTCTGCAACAGCCTTCCACTTCATGTGTGCCTCAGACTCTAAATAACGATCTATATTGGTCTTCCTCAGTGCATCCAGAGTTACACTGCAGGAAGCACAGAAGACTCTGCCTCCATCTGCTTGCAAGGTCCCTGCAGGATACTGTCTTGCACGGTCAAGTGCTGAAACATATTTGATCGCCTTGGAGGATTTCTTAGCTTTCATCCCTGTTCTTTCTCAGGTGGGAGCATGCATGCTGTAGCGGTAGCAGCATGCTTGTGAGCACTTTAAAAGCCAGCACCAAAACCCTCCCACTTCCCTGACTGGTCTGTATGTGGCTCCTGAACTGAACCTGTCAGGAGCTCAGTGGCTGATTTGCTCCCTCTTCCCCCACCTCCCTCTCTCTGTGCTTCAGGATGCCAGGGCTTCCCATCCTTTTCTGTTCTTGCAGCTTTTTTTTGCATTCCCTTTCTCCCCCTCATGAGCCTGCATGGTTTTGGAGTCGGTGCTTTTTCACGGAGCCTCACTGAAATCAAGGTTTCTGTGAAAATCACATAACTGATTTTGGTAGGTTCCTAAGTACATGTTGCTAATGAACAAAAGAACATAGGTACTTTTTTTTTCAAGTTCTCCCAAATAGCAAGAGACTTCCTTTTCAAGTACATTAGGGTGCTCAAACCCTGGCCTGCAGGTGAAATCTAGCCTGCACAGCACAGCATCTAGCCCATGAGGCTCCCTATGGGTCAGAAAATTAGATGGTGGAGAACTAGTACCACCGCTCCCCCACTGCCAAATTTTCAAGCCCTATGTGGCTTGATAAGGCATGAGCTGGATCTGGGCTACTGCTATTACTACTAGCGAACCAGGACCACTGCTGCTGCTAGTCAGATCAGTGCTGAGCCAGGCAGGTCTGCTGCCATGTGGCTGGATCAGGCCCTAGTTGTGCCCACCCCTGGGGGGGGTGCGAATCGGGGTGAGCGCCCTGGGTCCTGCGCTTTGTGGGGCCTCACAGACAGTGCCATACAGGCCCCGCTGCTGTGCACCACCAGCTCCACACTCCTGCTGCTCACCACCTCCCCTATCCCCCCAACTCTGGCTGCTTGCCACACCCCTAGGGTTAGCTCG